GTGATGGGGTGGAGCCGCAACCTCCCCATTGGCCCTGCCCTGAGTGTGACGGGGGGAGTGCCCCAACCCCCTGATTGGCCCTGCTCTGTGGGTGACAGGGGGCGGCGCCCCAACCCCCTGATTTGCCCTACTCTGTGTGTGACAGGGTATCGAGCCCCAACCCCGCTGATGGGCCCTGCTCTGAGCCCGACCAGGGGCTGCACCTAGGGATTGGGCCTGCCCTCTGCCACCCGGGAGCGGGCCTAAGCCAGCACGTCGTTATCTCCCGAGGGGTCCCAGACTGTGAGAGGGCACAAGTGAGGCTGAGGAACACCCCCCCTCCCCCGCCAGTGCACAAATTTTTGTGCCCCGGGCCTCTAATTTATATATATAAAAGCCTAAATGACCGAACCGGTCACTATGATGCGCACTGACCACTAGAGGGCAGACACTCAACACAGGAGTTGTCCCCTGGTGGTCATTGCACTCCCACAGCCAACCTCCCATGGCCAGCCAACCTCCTGCAGCCCCTTCCCCCTGTACTTCCAGCCGGCCAACCTCCCGCAGCACCTCCCCACTGGCCGATTGGCCCCAATCGCTGGCCAGGCTGAGGGACCCCACCCACGCACGAATTCATGCACCGGGCCTCTAGTTTTGAATAAGAGTGGTGAAAGTGGACATCCCTGCCTTGTTCCCAATCTTAAGGGGAATGCTTGCAGGTTTTGCCCATTGAGTATGATGTTGGCTGTGGGTTTGTCATACATGGCTTTTAATTACATTGAGCTATGTTCCCTCTATTCTCACTTTGCTGAGAGTTTTTATCATAAATGGGTGCTGGGTTTTATCAACTGCTTTTTATGCATCTGTTGATATGATCATATTTTATCCTTCAGTTTGTTTATGTGGTGTATCATGTTTAATGTTTTGTGGATATTGTACCAACCTTGCATCTCTGGAATAAATCCCACTTGATCATGGTGTATGATCTTTTTAATGTATTGCTGGATTTAGTTTACTAATATCTTGTTGAGGATTTTAACATCTGTGTTTATCATGGATATTGGCCTATAATTTTCTTTCTTTGTCATACCTTTTGTGGTTTTGGAATTAGGATAATGCTGGCCTCTTCGCTCCTCTTGAATTTTTTGGGTTAATTGAGAAGGATAGGTGTGTGTTCTTCTTTGAATGTTTGGTAAAATTCACCTGTAAAGCCATCAGGTGCAGAGCTTTTGTTTGTTGGGGGATTTTTGATTAGTGCTTGAATTTCACTAGTATTCTGTCTGTTCAGATTCTCCGATTCTTTTTGATTTAGTTTTGGAATGTCGTATGTTTTTAGGAACTTAATCCATTTCTCCCAGGTTGTCCAATTTGTTGGCATAGAGTTGTTCATAATACTTTTTTTTTTTAACAATCCTTTGTATTTCTTTGGTATCATTACTTCTTTTTAATTTCTCTCCTTTTGTTTCTTGATAAATCTGGTTAAAGGTTTGTCAATCTTATCTTTTCAAAGAACCATCTCTTTGTCTCATTCATCTTTTGTATTGTTAGACTCTATCTCACTTATTTCTGCTCTGTTATTATTTCCTTCCTTCTACTCACTCTGGGCTTTGTTTGGTATACTTTTTCAAGTTTCTTTAAGTGTAAAGTTAGAGTGTTTATTTGAGCTTTTTTTTTTCCCTTGAGCTAGGCCTACTTTTCCTGTGCCCCACAGATTTGGAGTTGTTGTGTTCTCATTTGCATTTGTTTCAAGGTACCTTTTGATTTCTTCCTTGATCTCATTATTAACCAATTCATAGTTTAGTAACATGTTATTTTTCGTCCATGTCTTTATGTGTTTTTTCAATTTTCTTCTTGTGATTCATTTTAAGTTTCATAGCATTATAGTCATAGAAGATGCCTGATATAATTTCAGTCTTTTTAAATTTATGGAGACTTGTTTTGTGTCCTAACATGTGGTCTATCCTAGAAAATGTTACATATCCACTTGAAAAGAATGTATATTCTGCTACCTGGGTGTGAAATGCTCTGAAGATATCAATTAAGTCCTTCTGATCTAGTGTGTCATTTAAGGCCTCCATCTCTTTATTGATTGATTTTCTGTCAGGAAGATCTAGCAATTGATGTCAATGGGATATTAAAATCCCTACTATAACTATATTACTGTCAATCTCTCCCTTTATGTCCATCAAGCCTTGCTTTCCATATTTAGGTGCTCCTATGTTGGGTGCATAAATGTTTACAAGGGTTATGTCCTGTTTTTGAATTGATCCATTTGTCATTATATTGTATACTTCCTTGGCTTCTACTATATCCTTGGTTTTAAAGTCTATTTTGTCAGATATAAGTATTGCTACCCCAGCTTTTTTTTTCTTTCCATTTGCATGAAATATCTTTTTCCATCCTTTTACTTTTAATTGGTGTGTATCTTTTGCTCTGAGGTGGGTCTCTTGAAGACAGCATAATCATGGATCTTGTTTTCTTATCCATTCAGCTACCTTATGTCTTTTTGATTTGGAGTATTTAAGCTGTTTACATTTAAAGTGATTATTTATAGGTATGTATTTATGGCCATGTTATTTTTTAAACTGTGTTCCTTTTTTTTTCTTTGTCTTCTTCTTCCACTTCTTCTTCTTTTTTTTTTAATTCTCACCTGAGGATAATTTTCCATTTATTCTTAGAGAGAGTGGAAGAGAAAGGGAAAGACAGAGAGAAATATCAGTGTAAGAGAGAAACACATTAATTGGTTGCCTCCTGCATGTGCCCTGACAGGGAGGAGCCTGCAACCGAGGGACATGCCATTGACCAGGATCGAACCTGGGACCATTCAGTCCACAGGCTGATGCTCTATCCACTGAGCAAAACTGGCTATGGCTTCTTCCACTTCTTAAAGCAAGCCCTGAAACATTTCCTGTAATGCTAATTTAGTGGTAACAAACTCCTTTATTTTTTTCCTGTGTGGGAAGCTCTTTATTTCTCCTTTGATTTTAAATGATAGCCTTGCTGGGTAATGTAGCATTGATTGAAGGTCCTTGTTTTTTCATCACTGAATATTTCTTTCATGCCTGTCCCTTTTGACCTTAAATGTTCTGTTGAGAAATCAGCTGACAGTCTTATGGAAACTCTCGTATGGGAACTGATTGCCTTTCTGTTGCGGCTTTTACAATATTCTCTTTGTCTTTAATTTTTGACATTTTAATTATAATGTGTCTTGGTGTGGGCTTATTTGGGAGGTGTTGGGGTGGAAGGATTGAGAAAAAGAAAGAAACTCATGGACATGGACAACATTGTGGTGATTAGGGGGTGGAGGTGGAAGACGGCATAGACGAGATAAATGGTGATGGGAAAAAATAAATTAAATTTAAAAATAATATAAAATAAAGAGAAAAATAATATATGCATACATAAAGAAAGAGTACATTTTAAATTGTATATGTTTCATTTTTGATCATTAGGTAAGTATAGGCAGTATTAAAATAGTATACCCCAATTTTAAGTATTTAATGTGTAGGGGAAATTCCTTCTGGTTTCATACTAGATTGATTAAAATATGTTATTCAAAATAATAGCAATATGTTATTAAAATAATAAAATATATTATTAAAAATTAGCAATATAGCCTTCTCCCTTGACTCTCTCCCCTCACTTCCAGAATTAAAAATAGGTAAAGAGGTAGAAAATAGGTATTTTAAAAAGACTTTTATAAGTACTGGAGCCTACTTGATTTTCTTACATCCTGAGAACACTCTTTAAGTAGTTAAATAATATGTTATTGGGTTTGTTTGCATGTATATGGAATTAAAATAGAAACGTCAAGCACTATTATTAAATGTATTTTTCTAATTTTTTTTAAAATAGCTAATACACAGTTCCTGCCGAATGCTTCACTTTTTCACTAGAAGTAAACGATTTTTAGCAGCCAGTTTGTTCACTTTCACAACCCAGCATGTTTCTTTGAGATTAGCCTGGATTTTACAGAACCTGGTTGAGGTAAGAAAAGAGTTTGTGTGTTTGTGTGTGTGCGCGTGTGTGTGTACATGCACCCACTTATGCATGCATGGGACTTTGGGGTAGATTCAAGGAATAAGGATAGTAATTTGATTATTTGAAGGAAAATTAAGTATCCATAACATATTGGTATGGAAGACAAGGAATCTTTACTGAGTTTATTTTTTAAGCCTTTTTATTGTAAGTCATAGCACATATAGAAAAGTGAACAAAACATAAACGTACCATTTGGTGATATACTTACTGTAGAGCAAATATCTGTAATGCTACTTGAATGAAGAACTAGAACACTAATACTATGTATTACATTTTCCTTCCACTTTTACAATTTATATATCTTTTTCTCAACACTATAGTTTTGCCTGAAAAATTTTAAACTTTGTATAAATGGAATCATACAGTGTTTATTTTTTTATTTTACTCCTTTTGCTATACATTATATGTGTGAAATGTATGTCTGTTATATGTAAATTAATATCCTTATATTTCTCTTGTTACTTAGTGTTCAATATATGATTTTACCATAATTTATTCATCTATTGTGTTTGTGTACATTTGAGTTATTTCTAGTTTGGGGCTATAATGAGTAATGCTACCTCCTGATGTATATGTAAATGTATTTCTGCTGTACCTACATACAGGAATGGAATTTTTAGGGCATACACACACACACACACACACAAACACACACAAACACACATATATACTAGTAGCCTGGTCACGAAATTCATGCACATTAAAAGGCAATTAATTAGAGGAAATATTTTAATATTGCTATTTGCCCTTAAAGTGTCAGAGATGAAAGAAAATTAGTAAAATGTATATGAAAATCTCCCTCCTGTCAGGGTCTGGGGCGTACTGCAGGACCCAAAGTCAAGTCCTCGCCCAACTGTGCATGCCTCGAAATCACACGAAACCCAGATCTGGCTGGCCCCAACCCCTTCAAGCCCTGCAGGGCGGGGGCAGGGGTGGGGTGGCTGTCAGCCTCAGGTCCCCTGGCCCAGCACCAGGCAGGGGGCATGGCCTCAGATCCCCCGGCCCCGGTTCAAGGGCCTGAGGGCATGACGACCATTTGCATATTAGCTCTTTATTATATAGGATATATATCTTCATTTTTAGAGGATAATGTCAAACACTTTTCTAAAGTTTTTGATAATTTGCACACCCATCATCAGTGATTGAAAAGATTTATTTTATTTACCTTCATAATTTATATTTCAGTCTTTCCTGGTATCTGATATCTCATTGTGACTTTAGACTGGATTATAAAAAACAAGATCCAAACGGTTGTTGTCTGTAGGACACACACTTCCTTTTTTTTTAAAATATATTTTATTGATTTTTTACAGAGAGGAAGGGAGAGGGATAGAGAGTTAGAAACATCGATGAGAGAGAAACATCGATCAGCTGCCTCCTGCACACTCCCAACTGGGGATGTGCCCGCAACCAAGGTACATGCCCTTGATCGGAATCGAACCTGGGACCCTTGAGTCCGCAGGCCGATGCTCTATCCACTGAGCCAAACCGGTCAAAGCCACACACTTCTTTAGATTCAGAAATACAAATTGGTTAAAAATAAATGGGATCCCAAGATGGCTGCAGAGTAGGTGAATACACTCACCTCCTCCCAGCACCAAATCAGATTCACAACTAAATTTTTAAAAAAATTTTTTTCCATAGACAGAAAAGACTAATTTTTACTTGTGTGATTTTGAAGAACTCAAATATGGTGCTGCCAATCAAAACACAAATTGAGAGATTGTATAACATGGCATTTAAAAAGGTATTTTCAGATTCCTTGTACTAAATTTTACTCTGTATGTTCAGCAGTTGCTGCATAATTATTGCTTCCATTACAACTAAATTATAGATTAGTCAACCTGAAAAAACAACTGAAGGCTAGTTCGATGGAAGTATTATAACCAAAGATCTACTGAAGAAACCACATTGAGACTGGTAATAAGGGCAGAGATGATGGAAGAGCTGGCCTCATACCCACTTGTGGCAATTAAGAATCTGGAGGGATATCTCAGCTGCAAAGGTCCCCCTGAGTAGCAAGAGGTTCTAATCCAGAGCACTAGGGCCAGGAAAAGGCACCTGCGTAACATCTGGTGATGAAAATTAGTGGGGATTCTGCCTGCCTGGGAGAGATGGGAGTTTTCTAGAAACCCAGGCATTCTCTTCAAGGGCCAGCACACAGGGTCTTTTTCTCACCCAGAACTCCAGTAGAGAAAAGGTGACTCAGGGCATACAGGAGTCATAAAGAGATCTGATGTCATGGTTTTGAGGAATGATCTGTGCTGAGTCCCTATCCCATACCGCCCTCAGACACCATCTTTTCAAGGTAGAGCACTCCTATCCTTATAGCACCAGCCTGGGGAGTGCACTATCTCAGTCTTCCAACTGCTGGTGGCTCCACTCTGCCAAGCTTAAGTCCTGCAGAAACATCTGCTGGCTGCACCCAGTTAGGACCTTCAGTGCACTCTTTTACTTGAGAAGCTCTTGGCAGAGACTCAGACAAACACTGATCTTTGTAACTCTGGAGTAGGAACCATCCATACCCTCCATTGTGCTGCCAGTGCCCTTCCTGTCCACTTGTCCTGTCTGATTCCCAGTGACCCCGCTCTATTGAGCTTGAGTCTTGCAGAGGGGTCAGCTGGCTATACTAGCCTGAACCAGCGGTGTACTCTTTTTGAGGGAGCTAGGGTCAGAGACTCAGGTGGAGTATGGTATGGGTTCTGGAGTAGGGGCCACTTACCCTCACCCCCCCACTGAGTGCCTGACCGTGCTGTCTCCAAGCAAGAGGACCACTAGCCCTGTCCTCCTGACTTTGAGCACCCCACTCTATAGAGCTCACACTTTGTGGAAGAGACTGTGGGAAACTGACCTTTGTACACAGCGTGACCCCTCCCATACATACCTAGGCCCAGTAGAAGCAGCCACTGACTGAATTGTTTGGTAGCTCCAGACAGATAGCCCAAAGCCAGTTGGTGGGCTTCAGACCACACTAAAACACAACCCAACTAGCCACACAAGTGGCACACCCAAAGGTAGGCCCACCCCAGACCCTACTGGGGCCAACTGTACCTTGAACACATAGAAGCTCATACAGTGTGGTTAGGGTCAATCCTAATAGTCAGACAGCCTGTGACTTAACACCATTAATGAACAACTAACAGCATTCAAGACTCAATCACAACAGGAAGGCTCATATAAGCCACACAAGAGACATTCCTGGAGCTCCTAGTTCAGGTGATCTGGAAGATAGTACACTGAGCCCACAAAGACACTTAAAACAAAAACCACCATAACAAGTTTGGGAATCATAGCAGATCTACCGAATATATAGAGACAAACACAAAATGACAGACAAAATGGGGAGACAAAGAAATGCCCCAAATGAAAGAAACAAGGGAAATCACCAGAAAAAGAATTTAATGGAAGCAACCAAGATACCAGATGTAGAATTCAGAACAATGGTTATTAAAATACTCAATGAATTTAGGGGAAGAATAGATTATCTCAGTGAGAACTTAAAGAGATAGTAAGCACTAAAGAAGACATAGACCCCATAAAAAGAACCAGTCAGAAATGAAGAACACAATAGCTGAAATAAAGAATACACTAGAAGGAATCATCAGCAGGTTGGATGAAGCAGAGAATCTAATCAGCGATTTAGAGGAAAAGATAACAAAACACCCAATCAGAGCAACAAAAAGAAAGAAGAATCTACACTAATAAAAGAGAAACATGGTAATTGGCATACGACCGCTACCCTTCCCATTGGCTAATCAGGGAGATATGCAAATTAACTGACAGCCAAGATGGCGGCCGGCAGCCAGGCAGCTTGAAACTAACATGAGGCTTGCTTCCTTCAGTGACGGAGGAAACCAACGTTCCCCGCCTGCCTTGCAGGCCTCTGAGCCTGCAGTTTGAACATTGTAACAAACATAGAAGCTAAAAAAAAACCAGAAACCAGCTTTCAGCGAGCTGGGATCTCAGAGCTGGAGTCAGAGCTGGAGTTATACATTGTTTCGAACTGAAACAAACCGATACCTACTTTCAGCAGCGGAGGCCTAAGAGCTGGAGCCTCAGAGCTAAAGCTGGCCCAGAATAAAAAGAAAAAAAAAGAAAAAAAGGAGCGGTTGGGAGCTTCCGTCACCCGCCAGCCTGAAAACAGCCCTCAGCCCCTCACCCAGACTGGCCAGGCACCCCAGTGGGGACCCCCACCCTGATCCAAGACACCCTTCAGGGCAAACTAGCCGGCTCCCAGGCCTCTATCCTATATAGTAAAAGGGTAATATGCC